TATAATCAGCTTTGTCAGAGACACTGTGGGCCCTCTTTCCTTAAAATATTAGCTTACTAAAGATTTCAAGCACTATAAGAGAGAGAGAGAGAGAATATCCACATTTTCTATCTAAAATCATTAAAAGATTGATGAACGTTCATACCTGGAAAATTCTGGCAGAAGAATGATTTATTTGCAGCAGCCCATGTAATTAAAGAGAGGATGAATATTGGTTAAAATATGACTCCTTACTCTCCTTTTCTACTCCCTGTGGAGTTTTGTGGGACAGCAGAAGGGAGGTGGAGAGAATGGGAAAGGCATCTCCTGAACCTCTGTGGTGGCAGGAAGGATCCAGGCATTGATGTTTCTGTAATTCACTGGTCCATGTACACTGAGAACGTTCGTGTGGCCACTGTTCCTTCCAGAAAACACCTAAACCACTCTGAGAGTCAGTGTGAAAACAACTCCTGTTGTTGTTCTCAGCAAGAGGTTTTGCTAGCTGCTCCAAAGCAGACATGCCTTTAGGTTCCTGCTTTAAGTACACTTAGTGGCATATGGAATAATAAAAGAAACACTCAGTGGCTTAGGGCAAGAGCAGCATCCCAAATAGACTTAAAATGACAAACAAATTGGAGCAGACACTTGTATCCACACGAGCCTAATGGTACTTAGCTTTGACAGTAAATGCACAAAATTACATCTGGCTGAGAAAGTCCCTCTGGGCTGGAAGTAATTGGCAGGTGGAATAGGACTCAGAGGAGCATCACTGCTCAGGTCTCACTTGTCTTTGATGTCTGCTTGTGCCCACAGCAGCAGAGTTCTGGGATCTCAGAGCAGGTGCTGGCAGCTGTGTATTTTTAAGTTATTTTCAATATGATATCACCTGTTACCTTCTGCCATTCTTCTCCTTGAGTCACTTCAGTGGTCATTCTGAAATAACTGTAGTGCCAGTTCTGGGTTCAGTCAAGTAGAAACGCTTGAAGTGTCTGCATTTGCCATGCTCATTTTACCTCAACTTTCCATGGCTCTTTTCCAGGCATGTCCCACACTTCCCTAGCTCTGTTTAGTCTGGGAAAGGTATAAGAAAATTAGCTGAAGGTCATATGGCTGCTATCCATGCATAACTAATGCTTTATCAGAACAGATGTGAGTTGCAAAGTAAGTTAATGTCTAACTTTACTAAAGGTTTGATGGAAATCTGTCTGGGAACAGCCAGAGCTGAGTCCAATAGCTACAGTGAATCTTTGCTTGCTTCACTGAGGGCTGGTGGAAGTACCACGTGCCAATAACATTATTCAAATCAACATGGATTTAAAATCAGGTGTCTGGGTGTGATCACTCCTTTCTGTCTGGAACATGATGAGATGAATGCGAGTTTCCTTTGTCTAAAGCTGGCACAGCCCAAAACAGCTGTACTGGGATTGTATTTCTATGTAATAGAAACATAATTTTCATAGGTGTGATGAATAGTGCTGACAATTTACTTTAGTAAGCCTGAGGACTTTAAACCACGTAATTAATCCAAATGTTAGGATTTCTTTGGTTTACACTAACAGTAGATGTCAGGTTTGGTGCTGACTGGGTACTGTGGTGATGGGTCCTTCAGAAGTGCTGAGAGATAGATAAAGTTGGGCTGAACTGATGTATTTCATATTATGAGCAGCTGGATGAGCCCTGAACACCATACCCAAGTGATTCATTTCTGAATGGTGGTGAAAAGAGAGGGGGGTGCTTAAATAAATCAATGGTGATTTTAATAAACTGGGAGCTTCTTGGTACTAAATCTGTCTGCATCTGATCTGAATTGCAATTACCTGTCAAAAATTCATCCATCATTGCAACTTCCAGACAAACTTTCTGGCAGCAGATGTTTCAGGGAAGCTATTTCATGTGGGAAATATATCGTTTGGTGTGCAGCATTCCCAAGAACAAAAGCCAAAGCAGAAAACATTTCCTGAGTAACAGCAATAACTTCTGTGTCATACCTAAGCCCAGCTTATTGGTGAATATAATTTGTAAATGTGGATTTCCAACATAAATCAGTCAATGAAACACTACTCGTAATTCAGCCCATCTCAAAGAGATGTAGTAATTCAATATTTGTGTACTTGTGAAAGCAATGGTATTTCTAATAACCTTATATTCAGTGATATTAAACCCCCTTTCTGATGCTGCAGCGCTGGTGCTGCCAAACAAAGGTGGTGTGTGCCAGCAGCCAGGCTGTGGGGAGAGCTCTGTGAGACTGCCTAAAGAAACGTGGCACGCTCCCTCAGATCTGTGTGCAGCAGCTGTGGGGCCACCTGTGCAATCCACATCTCTCTCGCACCGAAACCCAGAAGAAAATGCTGGGGGGAATAATATTTGCCTGCCACTTAATATGGATTCATTGACCTCCTGTCATAAGAGAAAGGGCTGAGTGTGGACCGTGTGAAGGATTTAAATTCAGCATCCCTAAAGTCCAGTTTTTCTCTGACATCCTTCCCACCATCTGATACGTGGCTGGTCCCTTCTGTGGCAAGAAGGCAACGTAATGAACATTTCTTTGCAGCCATCAGAAAATTGTCACATAACACTGCTATTTCTCATCTGAACATGTACCTTGAAAATGACCTCTGGGGACAGGCTGGACATATGATGAGAAGATTGCTATCCCTGCCAAATAATACCCCAAAAGCTGTTCTACTGTCACCTCTATCAAACCCCTCCATTCTCTTTGCCAATTATAACAGCGGAATCTATCACTCTTTTCAATTTTCATTATATCAGGAATTTACTTTGCACATTTTCTTCCTCTCTGTAGTACTTTAAAACCATGTTTCATTAGAAGCTGTTCCTAGCATAAATGAGAGCAATTCACTTATAAAGTAACTGCTGACAGATGGATCCATTTATATCTTAGACATGATGTGCTGGCCTTCTTATCTTGTCACCTGTGCCTGGTGTTTGAGGATTCATCTTTTGTGTTGGTGGCTCAGAAAGCCCCGGCCTCATAAGCTGCACCAAGTGTGTCATTCTGAGCTCTGGAGACCTGATGGCTGCCAAAGCTTTGGGAAAAACATCCTGCTTTGCCCTGCTCCTCACATCCATCAGCGCACGCTGTCACCGGGGCGCCGTTTTCCGCAGGAATCGGAAAATATTTGCATATTGCGTGTCCACTCTTCTCCTTTATTTCCCTGTTATTTATTTCCTTCTATTATTTAGCTTGGAAGGGCTGTGGGTACTTAGTGCAAATCACTTCTCAGGCCTGTGACAAGAGATTGTGTCCCCTCCAAGGGGCTGACTGGCTCCCAGGGCCATCTGTGCGCTCCCCCGTGCCAAAGGCGCGGAGGAGAACGGAAGGACGGGAAATGAAAGGTCAGCAGCTCTCCCAGGCTGCTGCAGGATCCTGCCCTGCATCGTGTGAGAGCTGATAAGCAGGGAGTGAATTAAACCTTTAAAATGAGGATAAATAACTTCTACCTATGGCAGTAGGGAAGCTGGAGCTGGCAAAGGGAAAAGAGAAGGAGTGAATGGCACGGAAAATGATGCTGGCAGGAAACTTCATAATGAGCAAAGGGCAAGATAATTTATATCAAGACCTACCTGGGCACAGCAGGTGGAGGGTGTGAACCTGAACCCAACCCTTTCCTCTCTCGACCTTTATGAAAGGCTGCATTTTAGGAATGTGAAAAGGGCAATTAACTTTTACCCTTAGAAGTAGCTGGAGGAGGATCAGGTGTGCATTGCACATACCCTTGTGCTCATGGTCAGGGTGTGATCCCGTCCCGCTCGGCTGGGGGCTGTGTCTCCCTGGGATGCTCTGGATGCCCTGGGAGATGCCAGTGGATTCACTGCTTTGGAGGCTGCTTGCCCTGGGGAGCACAAAGTGCCAGCACCAGTCAAACAATGTCAAGCCTCCTGATTAGAAGCAAATTGGTTGGAGCTGGAATTGTTCCCGATGGGTGTTTTTAATTTCCTTTTCCTGCGGAAAGATGATGGAAAAAGCTGTTCCAGGTACTCTGATCGTGCATTCCGACAAGTTTAAAATTTGAACTTGTTCTAAGGGAAGATCACATGTGTTTCAGGCCTTTATGAATGATATATTTTAATATTGCTAAGGCAGCTGTGACCTCAGCACAGAAATGTCATGAGGTGGAATGGCAGAAGCCAGACAGAAGAAGGACAGGGAGTAAAGCTTAAAACAGCCTCATTAAAATGTATTTTTCTCCATTTGGAAAAATAATGAGAACCACCCCTCGATCCGTGTTTCTGAAAGCGGTGATGAAATGCTTTGGTGGCCAGTTTCATTCTTATTAATAGTTTTTTTATTAAGAAGGATGAAAACTATCTAATGTAATAACTATGAAGGAATGCAGAGTCATTTTGGTTATGACCATGAACATTTATTTCTGGCATAAAATTGCCCTGAGGCAGGGAAGTCCTCTCCTACAGCACACATACACCTGGTTCTTTCAGCTGTTGCTTCGTATCCTGCTGTAATGAAATACCTCCTTTAGGTGCATCAAATAAACAAGTCCAAATACCACACACCCCATACTAAGTGATCATATTTCTGTCATTTTCCATTGTAAACTCTAAGCTTCCTTTTATTAAAGACGGCAAACGTGTACTTGAGTCATTCCAAGGAATCACAGCCCTTCCACCTCCTTAAACTCTGTATTGATATCCACAGAAAGCAATTTAATCCATCTTTTCTTTCCACCCCACACAATGAAAAGACAAAAATTGCAGTTTGAATTGCATTAGCCTTCAGGTCTTCCTAAAGATAAATAATGTTGCCTGCAGGTTTACATTAGGGATTAAGTGTCTGCACTGTGAATAACTCTGGAAATAAATTAAATGAAGGGAGGCAGAGCCTTTAGCTCTTTTTCTGGGGCTTCGTTTCACACTGTGATTTTTACACAGCACTTTTGTTCACCTACATTTGAGGACAAAATATAAAATGTTTTCAGAAAATATCTTCCCTTGCCCTTCCCTTTTCCATTTTCTTAATATAAACATGAACTTTTTTTCCCCAGCTCTTTCAGAATGGTGAGGTTGTTGAGTGATATTCCACATGGACCTGACTGCTTTGTGGCTCACCTTGGAGTTCTCAGCTCTCCACAGGAGATCCATCCCCTCTTCTCTGCTGAGACACTCAGTGACTGATGGCTGCAGCACAGGATGGTCCCCTCCTACCTTGGGAAACATTGCAAAAGTTCATTGTCAGTTCTGTGTTCAAGGTATGAATGTTCATTTTTAAGTGCAGAGCTCTGAAGATCCAGCTAACATATTCCCATTTTTCTTACACAAGAGATTGAATGAATACTTGCAAGAAAAAGCTGTTTATTTTTAGGACAGTAGTGCAGGTTTTACTTTTAAAGCAGATCACCATGTGGTTTTCCAGATCTCCAGACTTTATCAGTGGAAAGGAAGGCACACTGTGAAGGAAGGAAATGATTCCTTCCATACTGTTTAACTAGAGCAGGCAGCCCATTTGTTTACATATAAAAATACATGTTTACATGTATTTTTACTCTTTACACTTGTATTTTTGTGTCCTTTCCTAAAATCAGGAAGGCTAAGGACTGACTCCAATACTTCACTCCCAGTTGGCTTTGATGTGTCTTCTTTTTTTTTCCCTCCCCTCTGACTTTCCCTGGGTTTAGATGTTTGATTTGAATTATCCCTGTTTTGCCTCACATTATGATTAAGTAGGCTTTTAATATAAACACCTGAGCACAAAAAATCAAGATTAAGAAATTGTTCTGCTTGACTTAAAGCATTATGTCTCCTGGAATGGGATACCTGAGGTCTGGGATACCTCAGCTGTAGAAATCAGGTTCAGATAATTACAAATCCTATAGGAGATTTCAAAATTAATTGTGTTTCTTCTCAGTGAGGGCTGTGTTTGACTGCCTGTTTCATGGAGCTTAGGCTGCTCCTAGGGCCCATGAGGCATACAAAAAAAGGGACAGCAGCTAAAAAACAGTTAAAAAAATACTTTGTGTGATTTAGCAGCCTGCTTGGAACCAGAAAGCAGAATTCTGTTCAGCTTTATGGCAGAGGAAGAGAGCTGGTTTTTGGCCTTTGAAAATATCTATAGCTCTGATTTAGTATTCAAGGTAATAAGCAGCCCTGACTGCAGAAAAGAGAATTTGTGGGATATCTTTTCCTGGCTTTTTAAAATTGAAACCGAGTCGCTTCCACTGGAAGACTTTTCCTTATCTAGCCTGTAACCTGGCTTTCTTCTTTCACTATTTCAAGTTCACAGGCAAGAACCAGCAACGCTGCATCTGCGTCTCTGCCAGGAGGGGCTGACACCGGGAGAAAGGGACACCAATCCCTCTTCCCTTCCCACATTTGCAGCACCCGGTGCTGCACGTGCCTTAGGCTTTGTTAGGCTCAGGCATTGATTCCTTTCCTTCCACAGGCAGAGCTCAGATGCCCGTTCTCCAAACCAGCCCTTCTTCCAGAGGCACTGGGGACAGATTTCCCTGCAGGAAAAGGGCAGTGAGGTGCAGCAGGGCTGGCACAGGCTGCAGCAGAGGCTCCTGCTGGCACCTGTATGGATGCATTGCTGTCCAGCAGGGACAGCTGTTCCTGAGAGTGCCATGGGCTCGCTTTTCCGGCCTGCATGGAAAAGTGACTGTTCTGTATGCTCAGAAGGAGCATCTCCTTAGACTTATCCCTTCAGGTTTTGCAGTGACAGCGTGCTAAGGGAGAACAGAAGGACTGGATAATGCAGAAATCAGTTTGGCACATCTGGGAAAAACGCCTCTGCGTTTCTTTCCCTAAATTCTGCAAACAGGTGGGAACCGCAGCCGTCTGAAAAACTTCATCTCATTTCTATAAAGAATTTGGATTGGTTTTTTTAGATAATCCCCAAAGTGAGATTTTTCAGTTTTGAGATGGCTCTGATTTGCAACAAATGCTGTTTAAAAGACAGAGAGAGACAGACACTGTAAAGGGTAAAAAACTCCATGCAAACACAATTTGCTAAAAAAGCCCCAGAATTAAGAAGGGACCGTACTCTGACAGGGAGAGCCTTCCAGTGATACTTTCCAACATCTCCCTTGGCACAGGAGCTGGAAATCATCACATGTAGTGAGACTTTGACCCTTTACTTGGAAGGCCACAGTAACTTCAGTGCTCATGGTTTTAATGGGATCAGGAGGGGACTGTCAGCCATCACCCCATAGGTGGTGGCCTGTCCTGGGGCTGAAGCTACGTGAAGATCTCTCTTCTGTCCTTGTAACCACAAGCTGTGGATTAATATTGAAGTCATAAAATTCATAGAGCAATGCACTCCTATGGAGATAAATGACTTGAAATGCACCTTGAAGCAATTGTGTAAATTTCTATGCTAAGAACTCACTCGTATGAAATTGTTATTCCTATGAAATTGTGATAAAGCCCTGAACATAAACTGGAATTTGAAAACCATGGCTTTTGGCTGCCTTTCAGGAAAGGCATTTTGTTTTCAGCCTGCGCTTGGTAATCCAAAATGAAAATCTAAGTGAGATCGAAGGGTAGCTGCCACGTGCCATGTTGCATTGATTGTAGAAGTTATTTTACATAGTTCTGGGAATGCGCAAGTTGCCATAATCTTTTCATGCTCTCATTTATAAAAATCTTGCCCAATAAGGTGGCTGTGGGTAAATACTGAGACTAATGCATGAGGCAGCTGCTCAGCTTGTCCTGGCAGGAGGGAACACAAGCTGCATGGGCAGCATAGCTGCTGGGTTTGCCACTTCTCCCTCAATTCTGCCTTCATCCCCTCTCCTTGAACTGTCTGACTTGGGGAAGCCTCTGCTTTGCTGCTTGTCCAGACAGCACTTTGCAAACTAACAGGGTAATACTACTACTATTTACTAACAGTAAATACCACTAGGAATTAATTGCTTAATCACTTACCTTGTAGCTCTTGGCTTCAGGGTCGACTCTGCTGGCTTGTGCACGAGCCAGCCCCGAAGCTGGCATTAAAAATGATTCCCTCTGAGCCTTCAGTGAGGTGTCACATGTGGGCCATCCTCCTAAGCAAGCCTGTCTCTTGTGTGCTCACTGTCAATTAAAACTGATATTAAAATCAAATATAAACAAGGTGTGCATAGGTACTTGGGGGAGCCACCCTTTTTCCTGTCCTGTTTTTGTCCTTGAGTTTCTTGGGCTAAGGATAAATGGATGATTGTCTCTCCTTCCCCTCGCTTTTTCTCCAAATAACAACAAAAAAATTGCTCCCTTGAATTCCAGTTTGAATTAATGGAAGTCTGGGGGAGAAGAAACAGACAAACAAACGAGGAAGTGTTTTATATTTGGGTTTTTCTTTCCACCTCGTGGCAGATGGGTTTGGTGTGTTTTACAGCTACCTTCTGAAGTCAGTCTGTTATTTTGCCATTGCTTTGTAAGAGAGTAGCAGTGCTGAATCTTTATCATATTGATCGTTCCACAGGCTTTCATCTGGGGCCTAGGATAATACACAGCATTGTTATTGCATTATTATTTTTCATTTGTATCCCATTGATTTGCTGCCAGGAACTTACAGGTCAATTTGCAAAAAGATGGGCTATGATTTATTTTTTTCTAAAAGATTATGCCACAATGGGAATGCTTTTATAAGGCTGTCAGGTCTTTAGGTTTGTTTTTTCTCCTCTCAGGAGAGCAGCACATTCATAGATCAGTGGCACAGTTCCACCTGGATTTACACCCCGAGTACCCATGACTTTCACGTAATTCATCTGGATAAGTGGCTGTACACAAACCCACACTTAAATTGGAATTTTACTCCTGGGGAATGGCTCCTCTCTCCCTCCTCTCTGTACAACTCAGAAATAAGGAAGTCAATACAGTTACACCGAGGTAAAAGGGAGGGGAGGAGACACTTTCTGTGCCTGATCACAACAAACCACCAAGGCTTAGCACCCCCGGGTGACAGGTGCTAAAAATAGACATGAAAAGTTATTTTTGGCACATATTTTTGTTTGCCATGGTAACATCAGTTTACTACCAAGTAAAGTAGTAGTAGTCTAGCTCCTAACAACTTTGTACACAGAAGTCCCAACTTGGAAACAAAATAAGGACTCACATTCTCCTCACATTTATTTGAGTTTCTGTTATTGTAGCTACTGGGAAAGCAAGGATTATAAAAGTACGTGAAATTTCACTTTTAATTCCTTCAGTACAAAACTCCTGCTGCATAATTTACAAGGGTTAGTTTTTAATTACAGCATGCAGAATGTGTTAAGTGCAGCAGGCTGATGTATCCATACACCGTGTTGAGTACTATTATTTTTCCCTGGAACCCATCCAGGTAAATCAAACCCGCAGTGAGGGACTTGCATTTACACTGTAGTGAATTTTCCTGGCATCCTTTCAGCAGGAGCAATTTGACAAGGGAATTTTCTTCCAGCACAGAGCACCTTTTCCTGCCAGTGAATATTTTCAGTTTTGGGATTGGTGTGATGTTTTATCCTGGTCTGTGGCACAGAATTGGATGTTGATGTTAAACCAGACTGTAACCAGAACAGGTCACTGGAATTACCTTCCCAGTCTGGGAAATTTTATTGTAAATTAGAGATGGAGCTCAAAGTAAGGCATGGCCCAAATAAATGCCTCACTCATAATGTCTCCCACACCAAGATAATTATCCAGTGGCTGAACTGCTGCCTTTGGCTTACAGGAATATTTCAAAGAATGTTTTCCTTTGTTTTCCTCTCCTACTTTTCCAAGTTTTGCTTCACATTTTGACACCATTAGGATATAAGTGTATTAGACAGCAGTGAGGTCAAATGAGATTTCCTGCTTTAAGGGGAGGTGTGAAGTCACAAAATGTGCTGTGTCTGGCTGCTAAATGCCTGTTAAACCTAGCACAGCAGCACATCATACACACACACACACATATTTATAGCTTAATACTTCAGCATGTATTTATTTTCATATCTGAGGAATAAAAAGATGACTATGTTCCAAGACTGCTGGAAACTGTCTTAAGCGCTATTGTGCACTAAAGTGCTCTTTACAGACACAAAAAAATGTTCCTTGATAGTATTCATGACTGTTTGAGATTTTTTTAAAAAAATTGGAGAATTAATGACAAATGCCAAATCCTTTCAGTAGTTACTAAGGAATCTTTGATTTTTACATGTTTTTTATATAAAAATGTTTCTGAATATTAGAGTTAGGACATCTAAGTTGTAGTTTCAAGATCTGTTCCTTTTTATAAGCATCAAAGGTGTTACAAAATGGTCAAATTCTTCTATTTTAGTAGAGCTCAGTGAGAGTTTTTCCATCTGACAGCTCAACAAACAGAAGGAGTTTCATGCTCTGCTTTAATATTAAATACTGCTTTATAAATCACAGTAACTGCTTTCCACCTAACCTGACTTCTGCTTTATTTCAGAGACCTGCAAGCTGTCAATAACTTGTGAAAAGTGATTGCTCATTTCTGAGATACCTGCCAGGAACAGGAGATTTAGCAAGAGTTTCTAAGTTCCTCAGACAATTAGAAAATACCCCAAGCCCCTTCTGCAATAGTGAGTATGGATATTTATTTCTCAGCTTGGATTTACTGATTGACTGAGACATTCTGACTGTGCTACAATGACACTTTTAGAAGCTGGGATATTTGTAGGGAATCAGTGAGCAGAAGCCTGAACTGCACTGAACTTAGTGCTGATACACTGCCCGCAGTCTGTGAGCAAGCACAGCACAAAACCCAACACTTTGGAGCTTCTCTTCACATCTGGCAGCTCAACCAGATTTATATTTGCTTCACTCTTGGTGAAAAAGTAAAAAAAGCAATGAAATATTCGTTACCTTAGTGTCTGTCTGTAAAAATTCGTCCTGGGTGATAAATAATTCATTGCATTAATCACTGTTTTTTCCCAGCGCTGTTACACAGTGCCTGAGTTAAGAGGTGCTTCCTGTCACAGCTCCTAAACTGTTTTTGGGGAGGTTCTCTGTTTCAGGAGGTGTTTGTGGTTCGGTGGAGCCCTGGCCAGTGTCAGGTGGGTCAGCTCCTGTCAGGGCTGCTGCATCCTTGCCCAGCCAGCAGGTCACTGAGGGGTTACTGATTCACCATCTGTTGGCTCTTGGAATGGGAATGATTGATGGCAGGAGCCCAAATGATGAATAAATGCTCAGCCCTGGCTTGGGATAAACATATTGATGAAGCTTCAAACAGTTACTTCATGTTAGTTCTCGATAGTAAGGAGCCCTTTGGGGCATTTTTGTCTGTAAAGCTCTCCTTTCTTTTCACTAACTTGGGGAAGTTCATTCCAGAGCTCTGGCAGGTCCCCACCTTTTGCACAGTGCTGCTCCTGAAGATCTGCCCAAGCAAATGCAGTTCCTCGTTTGATCCGGGCTGAGCTCTCACACGCAGCAGCAAACACAATTTAATGCTGTCACCACCTCTCATCTCACCTGGGGTGCTGCTGCAGAACAGGGTAAAACATGCACCTACAAAGGGGTTTGCTGCTGCAGAGAAGGCAAAATTCCATCAGATCAAATCAGGTGGATTAAATGTCAGCAGCCATAACCTTCAAGTGGGACTTGGAAATTCAGTCACTGGATTATGCTGGACCATTCTAATTCATCTTCATAAACCTCTTCTATGTCTTTTGATATCAGTAGTAAATGTATAGGATAATGAATTATTGTGTGATAATATAAATATTTTAAAATTACCCCAAATTAATATTTTGAATATAATCTCTATCAGGAAGCAAGTGCTTCTTTAATATGAAAATCCATTGTCGCCATCTAGAAGTGATGAAAGGATGTGTTCCTGTGAGGGGGAATTAAAAAGGCAACTTCTGACTGTTGGGTTGAGTTGGAGTTCACACCAAAATTCAGCAGCATCAGGGCACTTGCAGCTGGGGCATCCTCAGGCTGTGCAACCTCACACTGCAGCGGGCTGGCTGCACAAACGGCTCTCTTTTGATATTTCAGGTTCCAAAATTGTTGCTCTTCCATGTTGATCTGAAATACATTTACAAAATAGGTGTATAATATATGTGCAGTTTATATATTGCAAGGTTTGGGGTTTTTTCCTTAACAAAATATAAACTCTGTCAGAAGTCAGTGTAAAGACCTTTTTTCTGCACAGTAGATTTTATCCAGCAAATTCAACTGCTGCAGTTGCAGCTGAACTTGGTGGCCAAGTCCATTCTGACAGTGTCTGGTCTGGAATGCACAATCTCTTCCTTTTTTCCCCCAGAACATTCCCTACTCTCCTGGTATTACTCCTTTTATACAATTGTGCTTTTCTTAGAACGTAGAGTAGCCATTCAGAAAAATCCCTTTTCTTTTTCCCTCTCTTTGAGCAGGATGCCTTCCTGAGGATGATGTGTCACCACTTGAAGACTGATCTCACAAAGGATAAATCAATTCTGAAGTGAGTCCTAGCGCTCCTTTTAACAATTAGCATTCCTGTTTGCCGTGGCTCTTCCTTTTCAGTAAGGTCTAAACACATCAGGTCATTCCTGCATATTCCCTGCAGTATTTTAATATCTCAAGACAGACAAAGGGATCTCCACAACTTCCTGAATTGATTCAGAACAAGGTAACAATACACATTTTATCCTCAAAACAGCACACTAAAGGAAGGATTTCCCATTTCTGAGTGACCCTGGAGCAGGACTCGGTGCCTTGTTGCATCCATTTAACACCAGGTACCTGGATGGACTCCAGGGCCACACGGTGGGGTTATTTACCATGTGTTGTACAGGTGCTGAGTCTAAACTATCTGATGATCTTAAGCCCAGAAAATCTCTTCCTCCACATAATCCTCGTGACCTTTCCCTCTGTCACTCATTTGTCTGACTGGGACAAGGCTGGCATGTGGCTGATTTTATGGATGGCGCGCTGCATGTCCTGGGATCAGCCTTAATGTGCTGTAATTCTTTATGCAGTCATTAAAGCACGATTAGAGACCTCAGTCTTGGGCTTGATACGGTCACTGGAGGAGTTTTACAGAGGTTATTACCGTGTTGCTCTGTCTCAAACTACTCAGCAAGAGCGAGGCAGCAATTACAAGAAAGGGCTACTTAGCATCCAGCCTGTACACAGGGAGGTGGGGAGAGAGGTTTCACAGACATAACTCACCCATCCACCAGAGCACAATAAAACACCTTCTTTATTTCTGATTTTATTGGTTCTGTCTGCTCTCATCTGGTGCCTGAGCATTTTATCTGTTCAGGCTGCTTTTTTTCTAATGCAGTAAAAAGAGCAGACAGGATTTTGCCCTTTATTTAAAATGTTTTGCCACATTTAGAGGTAAATCACAGCCACTTTCCTGCGTGTATATTTTCAGACTTAGCAGAGAGAGAAATGTTTTGACAGCAAGCGCGCTCTACAGGGTGCAACCATGGTCAGAGAGGAAAAGTCTCTTCCTACCACCCGACTTTTCTTTGCTCTGATAGAAACCTGCCCCTCTCTCCACATCTCTGGGGATCAAGCACCCACATTCCTTCATGCATAGTGAAGGAAAAAAAAGAGAGGAAAGATCTGGCTCCCAGTCCCTCCACAAACAGAGTTTGCTCTCTGAATTCCTCATGTAAATGACTCAGAGATCTGCACTTTCAAGCAGATCTGTCTTTTCAGAAACAAGCTGACACTCTGGGCACCAAAACAGATCACAGGAACTACAACAAAAAGCAGTGTTCTGCCAAAGCTGCAGGCAGGAGTCTGTCAGGGAGAATGATGGAGCCACAAGAGTGCTGTTCTAACAGGCAAAGGGGGAAGGAGGAAAGAGTGAAAAGTGTAAGAAACTGGAAGAGACTTCAAGGGACACGACGCTGTTTAATGGGGCAGAAACTGAGAGACAAGTGAGCTACAGTGTGGGGTGATTTGCATTTTTCCAAGATGATTTGTGAAAGGTGAAAAGTTGCAGATGAAATGCTTTGATTTGCCTTTATCTCACTCTGCCTGTGCACTTGTGTCATTCATTTCATGCAATAACCCCTACTAAACAGTCAGAGAGGCTGCAGCATAATTTTGTTGACCTTAAATTAAGGCAAAAAGCTGCAGTTCTGGAATTTGAAGTTTGTAGTGTCTAATTGGCTAAAGGGCAAAAGAAGGAAGTAAAGATGAATGACAACTTTTGATATCACATGAAAAATCAAGGCTCATGCATCAGGGGACTTGAAAACAATTAGATTCATATCATTTCAGCCTATGTCTCAATCCTAAAAGGGCATTAAAATTACACTCTCTAAGTCTCGTTCAGTGGAGCTTAGATGAGCCTCAGATTTTAGGTGTTCCCAGGATGGGAGTTACAGGAATTGATTTCTTTGCAATGTGAAGTGCCTAAAATAGGAAACAGCGGCAGTTTGGGGGCCTCTTGCTGCTTTCTTCCCTTTTTATTCCTTTCTATCCAACATGGCAGAAATGCCATCCAAGTGAGTAGCAGGAAGGCAACCTACATTGTTAGCAAGTGAGGGGGAAAAATAAAGTTCATCTTTCAGGCTTTGGAGGAGCTGATAGCAGGAGAAAAACTGTGCCTGCAATACAAAGCCAAAAGTTATCAACTATCCTGAGAGATGTTTTCACAAATCAACAAAGAACATAAACTAGGGGGGGAAAAAAAAGGAAGCATTGCTCTGGTCTTTGTCCCTAAGATGAGAAACTGAAAAGCTGCGAGTATAAAGCAGGTATGAGCTGGTTGTCAGTGGAATGTCAGCTTCCAGCAGAACAGGAATAACTCAGGAGTGTCGAGATGAGTCTCTGCTGCCTTGCACAGTGTTTTAATCAAAGCCCAGAAGGAGCAGTTCCCAGGCAGCCACAAAGCACCACGTCAGGCCGTGCAGAAAGAGGATTGCAGCACAACTGGGGCTTCACCAGATCTGTCTGAGATCTAGAACTGGTACTAGGTGAGGCTCAACTTGAATAACTTTCTTAGTTCCTTCTTTTGTCCTTTCACCCCAAATACAGCTTGCATTTTGCTTCAGCATGCTTCTGTAAATCCTCAGAGGATCCATCTTGGAAGATGTTGACAGATGAGGTGCAGATTCTCCTGTTCTATATTTATTGACAATAGTGGCAGTTCTTCCATTTTTTATTTTTTTTTGTGAACAGTGTAACTTTTACATATTTGTATGACTTCATTGTACAGCTGCCCTCCTCTAACATATTATATATGTGCCAATTCTTTTACTCCAGGGATGTAAATGCAGTACCACATGTTGATAAACACACTGTACCATTTAAACCACTGTCTGCACCGTCACTCTTCAAAAATGAGACCTGCACAGCACTCTGCAATTCAATGCAATGAGAAAGGCCATGAATTTACCCACAGAGGCAGCATGGCTGATAAAGCAGCTCCTGTCTCCTGTGCTCAGAGGTGATTCCTGTTCCAGATCAGCTCTGTGCTGGACCTGCCTTTTGCAGAGGTTGTGAGGCTGCTGCCACACGATGTGTGGTGGCTTTGTAAGGGGGAGTATCCTCTAATAAGGATTGCACAGCACCACCAGTCATCCCAATTAGCACTTGGATGAAATGGAGAACTGAACTCCAGAGGCAGGAACCAATTCTTCTCTATTCCATTGTTTGAAATGTTTTCCTTAGAGTGTGTTCAGGGGAGGATGGGAGATGGACCTTTTTACCTTTCTGGTGTTGTCTCTTTCCATGGTGTATCATATCCACCCTTCCCACAGCTGAGCTAGTAGGGCTGTGCTTTCTGAGAGGAATTCAACAGAAAAACGTTCCATCTTTTGTCCCCTGGAAGAAGCACCAGTTTTTGGAGCAATCTGTCTTCAAATGTTTCTGTGAAATTTTCCTTTTAGTTCTTGATCCTGCTCAGACACATCAGACCGATACAAAACCCCCTGAGTAACATCACCAGCCTCAGCAGAATGTCTAAACTCTCTAAACTCCAACTTTGCGTTATCACACCACAATTACATTAAAATTATGAACATGATGATGGCAGGTTCTAGGTCACTGGCTTTCAATCTTCCTGCTTAGGGCTGACCATAGCATTTGTCTGTATTTTCTTGTCTCAGGACCATAGCATTTGTCTGTATTTTCTTGTCTCAGGGACCGATCACTCCGTGTTTCCTTAAGGGACCAAGCTCTTGCTCTCCACAGCTCCTTGGAGCTGAAGGTGCTCGCCCACACTGAGTGAGAGAGACTCTGTTATGTTTCTATTTGCAGATGTGCTGCTGTGATGGGAATTTCTGTTCCAGCACACTTCCACACCGAGAGAAATAGAGGAAAAAGAAAAGAAAAAGGAGTCAACAGCCAGAAGGCCTCATTTAAATGCCAGTGTGGCAGCCAAAGAGGTAAGGGAATGAAACACCGACAGAGGGAGGAGGGGAAGGTCACTGTCCCCAGGGCCAGCAACGCCAGATGGCCGCAAGCACAAATCAGGAATTCCACAGACAGGAGTTTTACTCTCACCCTTTGATTTTATTTTCAGCATAATTTGCATTGCAGTTTATTTTCATGGCCATTGGGAGGTTGGTAAAGGGCCAGGTTGCCCTAAAGGGAGGACATGTTCGTGTGTACGTGCAGTGGGCTGTTCTGAGGTGTTGTCAGCACTAAACCTGCTCAGAGCAGCTCTCTTTGCTGGGGTGACAGCAGCAATAAAAGATCCACCTGAGGATCTCTTCCAGCTGAGATGCAAATACCCTCTCCTTCCCTCGTGCAGTCCTAAAGCTTGCACATCCATTTCCTGCATGGGGGTTGGACACTGCTTACACTTGGATTTAATTGCATTTCCGTGCTGGGTGGAAACTTCCAGTGGCTTTAAATAAGAAGAGACATTTCTTAGTAACAAGCATTGACTATTGCACATCTGTCCTGGCAAAAATAAAAGAACTGACCTTAATGGTGATTGCCAGGGAATATTCCCAGGTTTACATTTGAGACACTTGCCTTTCCAGCCCCTTTTGCCTCCCTACAGAAAAGCTAATGGTGCACAAAGAAGAGTCAGGTCAATTGCTGTTCCTGTTAGTTCTGTGTGACTGAAGCACCAGTATCCCACATTCTGGTTAACTTCACAACCTTTGGAGTTTTTCTTCCCCTGCATTCCATTTGTTTTCTGGCCATACTCAATTTTGCTGGCACAGGACACAAAAATTATAAAAGGAAGTTTGTGATAGAAGAGCAGGAAACAAATGACACTTGTGCATTTGTCATTGATCCTTGAAAAATGAGGTGAGCCCCAGACTTGCTTTTGGATTTCTCTCTGCTTCTTGCACTCGTGTGTTAGGGTGTTCCCAAAGAATCCTAAAGAAACAAATTCTCTGTTTTGCCTCCTATTCATGGCAAGGGCAAAGATGAAGTATCAGATTCAGTTGCTTAAAAGACTGATAAACCTGTAGGAGAAAGATGTTTTCTGCTGCACTGTTTGTCATAAACCAAATGAAGATTTAAAAAAAGCCCCATAACCTTAATAGCCTTTTGCAGAAATGAGGCAGACCCAGCAATCTTGAAGCAGTCATTGCTTCAGTCTTTCTATAACTCTGAAGACAACTAAATGAACACAGAAATCAGAGCTCNGCCGCTCCCGGCGGCGGAAACAGGGAAATAAAGAGGGAAATAAAGAGGGAAATTAAGAGGGAAATAAAGAGGGAAATAAAGAGGGAAATAAAGAGGGAAATAAAGGGGAAACAGGGAAAGCTGCAGGCGGATCGAACACAAACACCCTGCGGCGCTCGGGCCCCGCCCAGAGGCCCCGCGGGTGTCCCGCTGCGGGAGGAGCCTCAGCCGGAGCTCGGCCGCTGCTCTCAGCCCCGAAGGCGCCCCCTGAGCCCGGGGCCGGGCCCGGACAGCGCCGGGCCGGGGCTCCGTGTTCCGAGCGCTCGCTCGCAGCATTTGGGCTCCGTCCCTGAGCCCCACAATGCGGGGTTTGGGCTCCGTGCTCACGGCCCGGGCGAGTCTCGCTTTGCACTCCCAGAACACGGGGCTCAAGTCGCTGCTCCACAGCCCCCGGCCCGGCCAGACCCAGCACTCGGTCCCTGAGCCCTCCACACCTTCACCCCCACCAAAAACCCCACAGGGTTCAAGAGTCCGATTCTGAGACCAGACAAATGCTCCATTTATTAATCTCAGCTCACAGGGCTGTGGATTTCACTGTGGACATCCCCACAGGGGCTGACAGGGAACGGAGCTCTCACACCTCTGACCCTGCCCTGGGAACCGCTGCAGACTGGCAAAAACCACACGTGGGATAAAAAGGCTGGAAGGCTCCCCTGGAGCGAAGCCATAAAATTTAGTCTATTCACATTACCTTATTCTCCTAGCAATGTAACATCATATTATCAAAATATTTAAAGATTGGTGGAACAATTTAACTCCTCCAGACAACTCTTGGCCGTGTGCGAGGTAAGAACTGGAAGAGCTGCCTAGAAAGCTGCTGAGCTGAGCAGAGGTGGAAGGAGAGGAGGGAAAGGCTGGTTCCCATGCTCATTTCCAGGCAGGGATGAGGCCAAGCCTGCAGGCACGGAGCCTGCTGGAATCCCTGGCAGCAGGCACAGCCGCTCCCGGGAAGCCGCGCTCCCGTTGCACAAAGCCATCCCCGCCTGCGCAACCTGCGGTGAAAGCCACGGGATCAGAGCCGGGAGACTCAGCTCGAGCCCGGCTGCGGCTCAGCCGGGCCAGGTTCCGATTATCCGGCAGCACCGGGAGGCGCTTCCGGGCCCGAGCCCTTCCCTCGGTCCGCAATGAAAGGCGGCTGAGCGCCCGGCCCGAGCCGGCTGAGCTCAGAGGAAGGCTCTGATTGTGCCCCGTTG